AAGTATAAGTAAAACGACAAAAACTATTTTTGTATTTAAAGTAGTACAGAATTTGTGGCGATCACATGACTTATAGGTATAGGGGTATGCGTTATAGCGCATATGCAAAAAATTAAAAAATTCTAAATTCAATATAGTTTTATACAGAGGGACCTCTCTAAATGCACTCTCTCGGGACTGGACTTTAGAGAGCATTTATAGAGAGTATGCATTTAAAGAATTATACAAAAATTTCTCTAAATGCACCCTCTTTAGGATTAGATTTGGGTGTGCACTTAACGAATTATACGAATTTATATAGAATAAATATTTATATAATATCAAACTGTCCAAATCGGTTTATTTATTTAACAAATAAAATTTGATATAAAAGGTATTAGTATACCCAAATATACATACTGTGATACAAAACCAAAATATTCAATCTAGAATTATTAAATTATCTGTTGATATTTCTGTTACTTCTGTTTTATCAACATTAATATTAAAATATTGATCTATTGTGGATTGTTTCATCAAATCCTTTTTTTTAGCAATAATAAATTTTTCAATCATACTAACTAACTTTATACATTCACTTGCATCTTCTTGCTGAAGCAAGAAGGTGCATACATTTTCTAGACTCTTTAGGGCTTTATTTGGATTTATAATTTTATTTTCAATACTATCATCCGCTTCTTCAGAATCCTCATGTTTCATTTCATCAGGTCTTTCTCTAAACGTTTCTACAAGATCTAAAATAATTTGGTCTTCATCAGGAACTTTATAGACAATATCCTTATCAGGAATATTTAGATATTCTTCTACTCGCATCGGATCAGAAAAATTAAGATCTTCAATATTTTTAGAAAGTTCTTCAAGTAATAGTTCATCAAGTGATGGTTCATCATGCAATATTTCATCTTCACCAATATTATCCCAAATAGAAAGAATATTTGTATGGCGCCAGCAGTTTTGAATTGTTCTTTCTGTAACTTCATTCCAACCTTGGATAATATATTTAATACCTTATAAAATATTTTTATAATACAATTTAATTAATATAATACATAATTATTCAATAAAAACTAAGATTAGATCTCACTTTGAAAACAAACAAAAAAAATACCTTGCAGAATATCTATTTTTAGATCTTGCGCATTCTCACCGCTCTCAATTTGGTCAAGCATCCATCGAATATGATGATGGTGATAATTTTTTTTAAAAGATATTATAATTCCAGCATCCATTGGCTGGATTTTTGAAGTTGTATTTTTAGGTAAAAAACATATTTTTACATTCTGAAGAACTAGACCATCGGTTTTGTGACTTGAGCAATTATCAAGAAGCAATAAAACTGACTTTCCTTTGTGTTTTTTTAGCATTTCTCAATCAAAATCTCGAAGCCATTGTTAAAAAATACTTGTTAACATCCAAGCTTTAGCACTATTCCGGTAAGTCATTGGTATATTAGAAATTTTAACATTTTTAAAGCATCGTGGTCGTGCATATTTTCCAATAATTAGTGGTTTTAGTTTATGTGACCCATCAGAATTCGCACACAAAGCAACAGTAATACGCTCTTTATTTTTTTTACGACCAGAAAGACGCTGTGTAGCTAATGAGTAATCAGGCTCTAATCGATAAAAAAGGGCAGTTTCATCCATATTGTATATTAACTCAAGAGAATAATTAGCACATTTGTTTTTTAATAATGGATGAGACTGCATAATTGCTATATTGTTAGCAGATTCTGCTTCACCATGAAGTTTTTCCTTGCGGATTCCATTACGCTCTTTAAACTTGTGGAGCCAACCTGACGAAAATTGCAATGTACCTTCAGAAACTCCTAATCCATCAGCAAGTAATCTTGCTTTCTCAGTTAATATTGCATCACTTAATATCGTTCTATGCTGATAGGTTAGTACAAATTCATGAAGAGCAAGTTCAAGGGCCGGAATTGTAATAGCTCTGTTTCTTTTTTTCTCAGGATTAACTATTTCAGTAGTAAGCCATTTATCTTTGGTTTGTAAAATTCGCGTAATAGTAGATTCATGAACTCTAACACCCCATTTTTCTTCAATCCAATCTACATACTTTGCATGAGTCATATTATTACTTTGAGCATAAATACAGAACTCATGCTTCTGGATGTCAGTAAGAGTAGTTTTTTGTTTAGAAGACATAATATTGTAGGTTTAATTGATGATCAATGACCATTGAATTTTATATTCAGGTACGATAATTTATTTCAATTTAAGAAAAAAAAAGATAAACTATCTATTTTTATAAGCATTATTTTTGAAATCGAACCCCTTGAAAATAGTATAAATAATACATTCTCAAAGCAATGCATTTGAGTTTTATCAAGTTTAAACAGGTCTAGTTTCTTTATTATGATGAGTTTTGTTATCTTATTGTTATAAAACTCTAACTTGCTAATATGGAATAGGCGATATATTTTTTGTATTTTTTTTATTGTTTTTTTTTTTTAAAAAAAAAAACATTGCATGTTCTAAATTCTTGTTTATCATAATTTTCAATCTTATATAATGATATAGATGTTATTTTGAGTTATATACGCCTAAATTATACTCAATTTGGAAAATAATTTGAACGCCCATATTATTCTTCTAGAAATCTACAGTACAACAAAAAAAAATTTTTTTGTTGCTCACAGCTAATTTCAAATTTCTTTCCATATTTGACAAGTAATAATACTTGATTTTGTGTAAATTATACTCATACATAGGCGTAGAGTGAACAGCTTTTTTGCTGCTTATAATTGTTCAAGTAGCAACATGAAACTAGTGTGTGAAATATTATATCGTTTATATGATTGTATTTTTAACCAAAAATAAAATAAGTGATTTACAATAATTATATTAGAATCATAGCTGTACTATGTTGACCTCAAGTCAGGTAAGTATCTCAATTTGAAGATAGGATTTTTGGTAAGATAAGCCCTTTTTTTATTCTCTTTATTTTCGCTTGTTACTTGTATACTCACTATTCTAACTACATCATACTTTGATCACGCACATTAGACTTTTTAATTAATTACTAATCACGGCATTTTCTATAAACCTTATTATGTATGACATTTCTTATGCAACGCTTACTAATTCGTGCATCACTTATTTAACTAATTTATATGTCACTGAATCTATTCCCATATGCCTCGATCTTATGATCTGACCCTTTTCGATTGTCACATGTTTTATTTCAGCATCCAAAAATGCTGAAACATGCCAACACATTTTTTATTTATTTATTTATTGTTCACTGATACTATATCCCAGACTATGTATTGTACAATTCCGCCACACTAGTAAGAAACCCACAAGACCAAAAGTTTCTAAACTCAGACCACGCCTCAACCGAAGCCTACCAATTAGAGATTTTAGATCTTGTTCGATACTCGTTTAGTAGAGTTGCATATTGCGCTGTTTGTTGGTATCGTCAGGCTAAACTTTCACAATGTATGTACGTATGTACGTACATACTAAATTATCGTTATTCAAAATTTCATCAATTCTATGCATGTGCTATAAATCACGTGAAGCACATTTAAAGAAATAATATATTATATCGGGGTAAAAATATACCTGTACGTGCAGGATATGGAGGGTGCATTTAGCATCTAAGTCCCAAGCTTGGGACCATGCTATAGGGTGCATCTAAGGAGGGAGTGCATTTAGAGAGGGTGCATTTAGAGAGGTCCCTCTGTATTGCAAAGGATACTAGATATAAACTGGGAGTGTTATTTGCAGTATAGTGTGATGAATATTTCCCTTTTGCTGGGAATATTTCATTTCTTTTCCCTATAATAAAGTATCAATTGATTATAAATTTGAGTCCCTTATGTCTTGGGATGGGCAAATATTTAGGCTATATACATAGCAAATTACTATGCAGGCTAGTATTCTGCATAGAATTTTTAATAATTTTAGCAGTTTTTAGAATTTGGCCAGTATTAACAAATGAAGCCGTTTCGAAATATCCTAAATAGAAAATGAATGACATAAATCGTGTGCTAGATTAAGACCAAAATTCGAGTAAAATTATGAAATATTTCAAGGCTTTATTAGCATTAAAATGGTTTAGCATATATTTTTGCTAATTTGTTTGAAGAATATACAGTAAATGAAGAGAAAACTACCCTAGAATCAGAAACTTTTGAAAATATTTATATAAAATTCATAAATATCGAACGCAACTAATGCTCGAGCGGGTAGACACGAAAGTCCTAAAATTAACCTGATTGTGAGGTATTTATGATCAACTTTTATATAACAAAATATATTATAGCATGCCAGTATCGAATCATTCAGGTCTACCTGATCTGAACACTAAATGCAATGGTATACAATGAACTTTGGAATAAATTTAATGTATTTGAAACTGGTGAGCTGATAGATTTATAGATTTATGTGTAGGCACTTGATCTTGTTAAAGTCCACAATATTCGTACAACAAAAGAAATGGTTTAAAAGCTATTGAGTCAAATTCATACTATACCGAAAATTGGATACTTAAAGTGTAACATCTTCTAAGAACATGGATGAGTGATAAATCAAAATATCTTTGATTGGTAAAAGTTTATGCCGCAGTTTTTGTGAAATGCAAGTTTTAAAACTACCTAAAACTATAGTTGATACAATTTATATATTCAGTTGGGTTTCCAAAGACAAATCAATTAAAAATTGTCATATAAATCTCACTAAGAAAATATTCTTTTGCAAACTACCCTGAAAATCAATAATAAGATTTGGGTAAATTTGGCACGAAAATCATTAAAATTTTGTCGTGAAAATCTATTGGAATAAAAAACTTTTAGGTGATTTGTGATTGCACATCACCCGAAATTGTTAATCAATAAGGCCGCTTGCAGTTTATTCTTCGGTTAACATCAACTTTCTAGGACTCTCGGGGGGAGGGAAGGAATGAAACGTACATATAAAATGAATATACTATTTTTAAAGTAGCGAATTTTTTATCATGACGAGTTAAACTTTAGTTTAGAGATTCTAATTGAATTACTAAGTAGACCAGGCAATTTGATTCAATGTTTGCATTGCACTTTTCTCACAAAAGAGAGAACTTTACGTGTATCGACCTATCTTCTATATATTGAAATAAATTAATTCTTTTGTATATTTATTAACTAGATAGCTGCGCGACGTCATCGCGCAAAACCAGGAACGGAAATTATGAACAAAAATAAAGTTCATATGCGTTTAATTCAGATTTTCAAGAATTAAGATCTTTATTTTATAACTCTCTTGGCAATATTCATGATATGTATATGCATAAGCAAGCTAATTATAGTTACCTCTCTAAGCGCACCCTCCATAAATGCATTCTCTATGTAAAATCTCTTTAAGTGCACGGTGTAGTCTGATCCCAGCTTATAATAGCTCCATATATTTTACTCTCTATAAATGCATGCCCTCTCTAAGCGCATCTTTTTTAAATTTTTTACTATGGTCCCGAGGGGATGCATTTAGGGAGGTTTCTCTGTATATTGCTTTTAGGCAGCAGACATGGTGCCAGAAGTCTATACTCGTCAATCACACAATTTTTTGTGATCATGCTTGGCCAATAAATTTTT